AACAGGTAAGATGCGGTAGGACTCCTCGGTGACTAGACTCTTGTGGGGCCATCTGTGTTTAAGCAAAATTAATGAACTAAAATCACAGTGGACACCCATGTATCCAGGTGTCATTGTGTTAAAAGGACTGGTTTGGTTCATTAGGGTATTGTCTGGTTGTCTGTGGCTTGAAGTGAGAGCAGGCCAGAAAAACGACATTGTTACCTCTTCTTTATTTGTTTGTGAAGGTTTGTTTTTAGAAATTTGGAATATGTATATTTTTTTATATATGTGGAAAAAAAGAAATATATATTTTTTTTAGAAGAAAAGGTTTTCTTTTTATTGGTAATATTTCTACAGTTTGTCTGTGTTTATGGATTAATGTGAGTTTAACTTGTTTTTTAATTATATATCTAATGCATATACTTCAAGATCGATTCTATCATGGTATGTTTGAAATTTTATTATTATTATTATTATTATTGTTTTGTTGTTGTTGTTGTTGTTGTTATTGTTATTATTCTTACTATTGTTTTTTATATGCTAATAAAAGCATGACATGGGAAGAAAAATGTATACATAAATACAGTCACATCATTACTCTTTTGAGGATTGTGTTTCTAATGCATTATCTCTATTGATTCCAGGTTTTAATGGAAAGAGGGTAAAGCTTCAGGAAAGACATGGCAGAGCCAGCCCCTGAGGCTGCTGGCTTCGCCCAGGACCTGTTCTCGCCTCTCCAGTTCTGTGAGGTGGTTCAGGAAGGCCAGGGCAGCCACCATCATGTCAAGGATGAGCCGCGGCCTCAGCAGCAGGCCCAGCTGGGAACCCCACACTCCTCAGCCCCTGTGACCTCCATGGTCAATTTGCCGGGAGTCACAACCACAGTTCCATCGACAGCTAGTACCCAGCACTTACATATTCAGGCACAAACTTCCATGGCTCAGATGGTGCAGCAACACCAACAACAGCAGCATGTACAGCAGCATCCCCATGTACAGCAGCAGCAACAACAGACATTATCACAGTCTCAGTTAATGCAACAGCAGTTGAGTGTTCAGCAGCAAGCGCAGTCAATGGCACAGCGTCAGATGATGCAACATCAACAACAGCAAGCCCAACAGCAAGCCCAACAACAGGTTCAGCAGGCAGCCCACCAGGCACAGCAGCAGGTTGCTCAACAACAAGCCCAACAGCAAGCTCAACAGCAAGCTCAGCAGCAGGCTCAGCAGCAGGCTCAGCAGCAGGCTCAGCAGCAAGCCCAAGTTCAGCAACAAGTTCAGCAACAGGTTCAACAGCAAGTTCAACAGCAAGCCCAAGTTCAGCAGCAGGTTCAGCAGCAGGTTCAGCAACAGGTTCAACAGCAAGTTCAACAGCAAGCCCAAGTTCAACAGCAAGCTCAGCAGCAAGTTCAGCAGCAGGTACAGCAGCAAGTGCAGCAGCAAGTGCAGCAGCAGGTGCAGCAGGTTCAACAGACTCAGCAGCAAGCCCAAGTTCAACAGCAGGTTCAACAACAAGCCCAAGTTCAGCAGCAAGTTCAACAGCAGGTACAGCAGCAGGTGCAGCAGCAGGTGCAGCAGGTTCAACAACAGACTCAGCAGCAAGTTCAGCAACAGGCTCAGCCATCAACACAACAGATGATGCAGTCTCAGCAGCAGACGCCAAAGCAGCAACAATTGCAGCAGCAGCAGCAGCCTGGGCAACAGCAAGTGCAGCCAAGTCAACCCCAGCAGCAAGTGCAAATGGCCCAGACTGCTGTGAATAATGTACAGCTTGTCAATGGTCTGCAGATGCCAGTTGCAGTGCAGCATCCCAACACAGCAAAGACGCCACCTTCGTCTGGCGTAACTCCAGGCGCAGCAACTGCTTCTCCACCTCTGATTGTGTTTACAGGCATTGTTACCAGTGAAGGAGCGCCTGTCAGCAGTGCAAATACATCTTCAACAAGTACAGCTAATGGAACTACAAGTGGAACTAGTAGTTCAGATGTAAGTACAAATATGGGCTTTACAACCTTTCATATGTAACCCAAATTTTATCTGATCTAAGTAAATACAAAGACAAAGATGACTTTACCATTCTGTACTCCCAGGTGAAACCAGTACCTGTAAAACGTACTTGGCGACGGCCCTGGAAGAAGAAGAAGGAACGAGAGAAGAAGCAACCTGTGAAGAAGGCGCGGAGAGTAAAAAGGAAGCGAGTAGTTGTCCCAAAAAAGAACATCATTCACATAGATCCAAGAAATGGACCTGTGGTATGGTCTTACTTTTATTACAGTTTACATTTTTGTCATGGTTGAGAACTAACAACTTGTTGTTGTTATATCTGATTAGTTGAAGTTCATTTAAAGACATATAATTATTTTTGACCGAAGAAGAGCATCAGATTTATTAAAATACTTAATATATTAACTTCTTTCTTTTAAGATCGACACAACAATTACACAAATCAAGAGGGAGTCAGAGGAAGCCATAAACCAGTTGAAACAAAAGAGACAACGTATAAAGCTGAACAGAAATTCAGGAAGGGAATATGTGAATCGTTTAGGAAAGGTGAGTGGTTAACTTGCTGCTCTTTGCTTCTTTAAAATTTGTTGGGTTAGTTTGTAAAATCAGTATGAAGATTTCTTTTGTTTTAAGGTATACAGTCTATTTGTTATTAGTATTGCAGAATGATATTTTGAATAGCTTACAGTTTTGTAAATATTATCAGCCAAAGTTTTGATTTTTTAAGAAAACTTCACAGAATACATTTTGTTGAAATACACCAACAGACATCCACTTGAACACACACTCATGCATAATTTTTTTAACACACTCGTGCACGTGCATACCCCCCCAGTGATATACACAGAATACATTTTGTTGAAATACACCAACAGACATCCACTTGAACACACACTCATGCATAATTTGTTTGCTTTGATTTTGTCATACATTATTCATTGCGAATGATATTGCAGGTGGTTGGGGCACGGATGATTGGGTCACCTTGCAACTGCCCCCTCAAGTGCTGGGAGCGAATGGGTTCAAAGATTTTAGAAATTTTCAATAATTTCTGGGATTTGAGCGACTTTAATCTCCAAAATTCATACCTGTTCACGTGTCTCAAGTTGTGTGATGTCAAGCGTCGTTACACCAAGAAGGTAAATGTAAGGAAACGACATTGTGTTTGTAGATTGTTCATGATATCTTAAAAAGAAGAAGGAAAAAAAAAAGCATTGCATGAAGTATTTCACACCATAAGATATGTATTTAAACCTAGACAGAAAATTATTTTGTGGAATGTTCAGGCTTTTGGAACCTTGGCAGATCATATTGAATGACATAGTGCTCACAGTTATGGAAACAATTTTCTCTTGAATTTCTCCTCTCTCTTTTAGCCTGCAGAGGAATCCCGAAGACAAAACACTTTTGAATACTTCGTCCGTATTAGTGGAAAGCACTTGAGAGTCTGTAAAAGGGCTTTCATGAGCTCGCATGGGCTGACCAGCGACAAGAGACTACGAACTCTATTTCATCAAATGAAGGTTTGTAGAGGTAGCAGTTTCATGGTGACATTTGCCGTGTATTATAGCTGGTGAGTTAAACAAGCACTTGAACTCCATTTTGGTAACCAGAAGTGTTCCTTTTCAAACAGGATGGAGCTTTAGTGCCAGAGCCAGACAGAAGAGGCAAGCATCTACGACCTGCAAAATCTCCAAATCAGATGAGTCCAACTCAAACGATAGAACAGTGCCAGGGGAATAACAAAGCCAAGAAACCCCGCACTGTTAAGAAGAAGCAGAATAATAAGCAGGAAAACAAGCCAATGTATACCCCTCCTCCACCTCCAATGGGTCACATCCATCCCCATTGCACGCCTCCTCCACCACCGGCGCACACCACCGCAATGCAGGAGCCTCCACATGCCTACATCCCTAATGGTGATATATACTTCCCAGGCCACTATCTAGAGCCGCACCAGTCAATGGCTCCCCCTCCCATGAACCAGATTCCTTCTTGCCAAAAGATGCTAGAAGCTCCTGCGTACTTCATGGCTGGTATGAAAGAGAACACCTTCCATCAGTGACTAGAGTAAGCCTTCCACTGCTAAGTTCACCATTTATTTATTTTCATTTTTTTCATTTTCATTGTTTTCTTCAGTGATAAGACGTGTGTTATGGATTTATTTTGAAATTCTGTGTCCGTGCCCAGCTAGACTTTTTATATGACATGCTGATCATATAAAGTTTGCTTTATTTGTATTCAAAGAGAAATAGATGATTTTGGTGTGGAAGGTGTTGTGTCCTAAATATTTCTGCGGCAGCTAGATTTCTTCTTTCATTTTAGTATATTGATTCTTTATTATCATTGTTTATATTGTACTCTTATAAATTTTATTTTTATGATTGTTAGCTTTAGTATGATGGGTATTATTATATTTTCATCTTCTGATTATCAGTGAATATATAATGTTCTCAGAACTGAGTTAAATATTATCAGGGCATTTGTTAATATTATAATCTATTAGATGTATAAATTTCAACATGTTAGTTGGAAGACGCCGAAAATTATATGTAGATTCCTGAATCTACTGCTTAAACTTGGTGTAATATGGATAAATTACAGTTCCATTTGTTTGTAAAGAACAGGTACTGAACATTCCAGTATTCTTAGTAATATCTAAAAGATAAAATGTTCTAATATTTCTTTCTTATAGTTCTGATTTTGGTTGCTATTTATAAGCTAGAAGCTAGTCTAACCAGATAACTGCATTTGTCATAGATATTGAGGGCTCAGGGAGGGTTAAGTCGCAGCAGTGTTATATGCCGAGAGAGTGATGTCCATTTTTAGACGATGGCAGCTGTCATACCTGATTTTGACAGATTTTTTACCTTAGTGATGATGTTTCACCCAAATCTTCAATTTGGGCTTTATACAAAAACTAAAGAAGTAGCATATATCAAATAATTCAGCATTAGAGAAGCATAAGTGCTCTCTAGAAGGGAAATTTTGCTGACAAAAACCTTATGATATTCATATGTATGTATATATCACAATATTGCTTCGTAGCTTAATACTAATTGATGCCAAAATAGTATTTGAATGCTCTGATCTCTTAAAAATCATTATCATCCTAAAAATTTTACTTGAGCAGCAATAGGTGTTAACTTGTTGATGCAGGGAGTGTATGTATGAATGCATGTATTGTCAACTGTGGTTTTGTTTTATAGAGTTTGTTTACAAATAGACTGATTCACAAGCATTTAGTCACCAAGGAGTTGTTACTCCTCCTCCTCCTCCTCTTCTTCTTCTTCTTCTTCTTCTTCTTCTTCTTCTTCTTCTTCTTCTTCTTCTTCTTCTTCTTCTTCTTCTTCTTCTTCTTCTTCTTCTTCTTCTTTTTCTTCTTCCTCCTCCTCCTCCTCTCCTCCTCCTCCTCCTCCTCCTCCTCCTCCTCCTCCTCTCCATTTGATCTAATTATCCTTTATGCTTAACCCTTCCCCCTTCTACTAATCCCAATCATACCCATTTACTCCCCCTCTTTCTACTCCTTCTCTATCATTTTATCATATAATGCCATATGACTTAGAATTGAAGACATTTTGTTTTAATGAAGAAATTCTTTAAACACATTTCACCACAATACTTTACCATAATGCTATATGGCCTTTCATGTCTAGCACATTTATTTGTCTAAAGCATAAGTACTGCTACTACTACTACTACAAGTGAGTTTAAGTAAGCCTTTTAATTAGTAACTGAGTGCTTCTGTAGCCTTCTATATGTAAACAAATTTGATAAATGAAAACCACAGTGGACAGTGCATGCACCCACTGTCAATGGATTAAGATTCAGGTATCAGAGATGTTATTATTCCAAGATATGATAAGGATTGTCATAAAAGAACTTGTGTGTAAAGTTCAGCACAATTAAAATTATCCCTGTGATAGCCATTTCAAGGTTGTAATAGGTTAAATTCAAGAGTATGTATTTTCATGCAGATGTGTTTCAAAACTTGCTAGAGAAAGCTTTGAAAGGTGTTCCTAATAATGAATCTCTCTATTATTTAATGGATATCAGTTGGCTGGATGTTTCAAGTGGCCTTCACAGTCGATTGGTGTTTTGTGCCACATTAGATTAAGTTCAGACCATTTTACATGGAGAAGTAAATGAAGGTCTATTAGTACAAATGTATTTGGATGTGTTGTGGAGTTTCCCTTCACACCACAAGGAGCTGGCTGTTCCCAAATATACCATAAAATACTTACATATTTATGCTGATACACAACAGTGTGAAGAGACTGGATTTACATTAAGAAATAATGTAAATGTGGTGGAGCCACTTAATGCCATTAGTGATGCATGCATAGGTAATTAAATATTAGCATGCTAAATATGCTGCTTTTTGTGATACAAGATTTTTTTTTCCTTTTCTCATTTCCAGAGAAGAACCTTTCCAGATAAACTCCATGCATTGTATCTTCCATTTATTAAGGGATATTTTCATGGTTATACATTTTTCTCCCCCATTTTATTAAGTGAATTAGTTGTCATCACCGGACAAAGAACTCATTAGGCCTATATGCCGTAGCGCATTCCCACAAATCTCTTGGCACTAGGGACGTAATCACAAAGGCAAAATTTATTAAGAAAAGAAAGAGCACTCAATTGTTATTTTATGCTTTGCTCTCCAGGTCATTGTATGATTATACTAGTTTATCAAAATTAATTTGGTGCCATGGTAAACAGGGAAGTTAGGTTTTTTTACTACTCCACAGAAACGGGCAGTATTCTGTTTGCTTCCACTGTTCAGTGTTTTCTGCTGTGTACTCAAGTTTTCAAATATCTGTCTTTTAAGATTGGTGGCCAAAATATATATGATGATATATTATTATTTCCAGTCTTCCTGTTTAATTTTGAAACATTGTAATAATTTAATTTTTAAATTATAATTTTATGTTTACATTAGACAAGCACAATTTATTGATTTCAATAGACATTTGTGAATTATATATTTTTAATGGCATTTTTTTTGAATTGACATTATTGTTAAACCCAGTGTGACTTTGCATAAGCATTGGTCACCTTCAAGAAGAACTAACTGATGGATGTGTAATGAAAAAAATTGGTGGCTTTGTATGATGTGTTAATGCAGTGAAATGAGTGGATTAACAAGTTTGCTTTCAGTAAATGTAAGCAGAGTAGCAGGCATAATATGAAGTGAGTGCATCACATAGTTAGATCAGAGTGTATATTAGCTTGATATGTACAGCATGTATAGATGTGGTATATTTAGTCTCCAATGAATATGATCTCTAGATCAAGTCTCCACTTTAAGGCTTTTGGTTAGTTTCTTTTATGAGTTAAGTAATTTTGTTGTTCTCCAATAATGGTGGTATATTAACAGTTGTATATTTTCTTATTAAGCATGTACACACTCGAGATTGCTATCCTGTTTAGCAGTGATGAGTGATAAAACAAGATTTGTAAATTACTTTAGCTAAGAGTGTCAGCCACTAGTAGAAGTGTATATTTTGTATTTAAATGATATATGGGTAGCAAGTCTCCACTGTAGATCTCTTGATTAGTTTCTTTTAGGCTGTACATGTAATGTTCTCAATAATGGTGGTATTAACAGTATATTTTCTTATAAGCATGTAACACTCATGGAGAGCAACTAGGTACTAATTCTTTAGTTACAAAGCTTCTCTGCTAAATTTCTAGATAAGTGACTTGGCCTGCACTTTTATTTAAACACTAAAGACAGGAAGAGCAACATATCAAGGCAGTACTATGCATTTTTTGTGATATCAAACAAAAAACAAATTCATTCATGTGTGCAAGTAAACAGATTATGATAATTTTCAGTACACACCAGTAAGCTTTTCCAATATCTGAAGAATATGTTAAAACAGTCAAGCTTATTGCAAATAGTGTTGTTCTCTGTTGTTTTAACTGTGCTGGTGGGCAAAAGAAAGTGGCCTGCGCTGTGGTGTAGAGAGCTTTTATGTAGTTGCTTAGTTGATCAAGTGTAACAAAGTAAATGATTATCTTATTGAAATTTGTTTTATATAATCCTTCTCGAAATAGGTTGGAAATGATTTTTCTGAATTAAAAATCTGCAGAACAACATTTAGTGGCTTCTGCATGGCAAACAAGCTAGGAGAAAGCATGAAGATAAACTAATACAGCAGATTATATAAAAAACAGACACAGAATCTGACTACTAGTGAAAAGAAAGACGTAAAAAACTGCTCTGGGTGAACAATAATGCCCTTTAAAGTATATTTGAATTTGTGTGTGTCAGTAATTACATGTATATATGTACACATGTACACACACCCACACCACACACACACACACACAACACACACACACACACACACACACACACACACACACACACACACACCACACACACACACACACACACACACACACACACACACCACATATGCACACACACACATACACATGCACACACACTCTCTTCTTCTCTCTCTCTCTCCTCTCTCTCTCTCTCTCTTCTCTCTCTCTCTATATATATATAATAATATATATATATATATATATATATATATATATATATATATATATATATGATGATATATATGCATGTATGTACATGTGTATGTATGTATGTGCATGTGTATGTATGTATATATAATATATATATATATATATATATATATATATATATATATATATATATATATATATATATATATATATATATACACACACACACACACACAAACTAGATTTCCTGAAATAAAATCATCCTCGAGAACAGGAGAAAGGAAGTCAGGTCTGGTTGAAGGATCAGGTGGCCCTTGTGAAGGGTGGCCGGCATACGGAAGAAGGCTGAGGATGTGGGAAGAGCCAGGAGATTGTCAGCAGGAGAAAAACCGCTGTTCAAGTTGAAATTGGGCAGCAGCTTGATTAAGGAAGATTCCGCCATTGCGGGCATGGACATCAGCGAAAGAGAAGACAGTGCGCACAGCTGACCAATCCATCTGATGGCTTATGTCCCACTGATGGCAGAAATGGGCGATGTTGTTCTGTCCCCTGGATACAGCGTATCTATGCTGAGACACGCTTAGTGAGACCAAAATACTGCTTATCACAGGAAGCTTAAGAAACAGCATAGGTACCCTCCTTCGAGGTAGTGGGAGGGAAGGTGTGAACCAGGTTGCGACGGAGAGTGTTCACCTGGCGAAAGGTGACGGAGAGAGTAGATCTCAGTGTAAGGCAGGCTGAGGACGGACAGAGGAGAGGAGCCGTAGAAGGTACGCTGCGCCCTGGGTAACGCGGCGTCGAGAACATGGCGAGGGTGGCCCAGTTTGGAGAAGGAACGACGTAGGTAATCAAGATCTCCATCTCAGTGCTGGGAGTCACGGATGCGGAGGGCGTGAAGTGGGTTTCAAACCACGTAATTCTTGTTTTTATTTGATGCTATGTACATTAAATAAAAGACTCAAAACCTTAGTTCGATGTTAATCTCATCCGTTTGCCCTCAATTCGGGTACTTTGCCCCGTAAAACTAGCTGTCGTCTGCCAAAAAATGCGATTGCAGCGCCGCCACAAGTCAATATATATATTATATATATATTATATATATATATATATATATATTATATATATATATATATATATATATTATATATATATATATATATATATATATATATATATATATATATATATTATATATATATATATATATACACATTATATTACATAATATCATATAATATATATATATATATAATATATATATATATATTCATATCATATACACATCTATATTCATACATATAAATATATATATATATATATATACATATATATACTATATATATTATTATACATACATATACATATATATATATATATATATATATATATATGTGATAGAGTTGGGGGTGTAGAGGTGGTGAATGAATGGGGTCTTGGCTTGCTGGTTTATTGGGGAAGGTAAAGGCATGGCCTCACGAGAGACGCCGTGCCCTGGGTGCTGTCCTGACTGCTCTTGTTCTCCTGTCTGCTTGCTCTTTCCAGTCTCTCCCGGTCTGCCTGACGAGACATCCTTTCATCCTGAGACTGAGGTCCTGGGCAGGTGCCTGCTTGTTTTTTTTTTGGGGGGTGTCAGTTCTTCCGTCCATGACAAGGGGTGAGTTCGCCGGAATTGCTCGAGGGGGAGAAAGTACTTGGTAACTGTATATTCTTGACTTATATATATTAATATATATACACATATATATACATATACATTATATATATATATATATATATATATGCATATATATACATATATA